CCCCCCTTCTCTGTGAGCTTTCTGAGTCTCTTTCTCTCTCCCCAAGGACAGAGGCTGCCCTCATCAATTTACTGTTTCATGGGCAGGGTGAGGCCGGCCAGCTTGTTCCATGTCCCGTCGCAGAACCACCTTCATGTCCTGGATTCCCACTCTGATCTATCCAAACGCTTGTCGCGACCTCAGATAGCTCCTTTGTCCCCTCTAGGACTCAGTTTCCCCTTTCCAGCACAAGTGGCCTTGAAGTTAGTGGTTGCCAAACCTTTCCAGCCCCAGGCTCCTGTTCCCTCATTCTAGAATGAAGTCCCGAGGGCGGGAGGAACGGGCCCGGCCAGGAGCTGGGAAGGGCTTGAGGGTCTGGAGAAGCGTGTGGGGCTGGCTGGGGACAGAGCCTGCCAGGTCCATCAGCACAGACCACTTCTCGGGCAGGGCGCGGAGCCCCCGGCTGGCACGCGGTGAGGGCTCAAACTATTACTTAAAAGAGCAAAAGCAGGAGTCTCCAGGGCCACTTCAGAGGTGAGGTGATGCGTGCACACATTCTTTGTTTCCCAGGAGGGAGTGTGCCACAGTGGCTGGTAGGGCCATTTCGTGGGTCCCCTCTTACCTCCAGCAGAAGGGCACATCTTACCATCGCTTAGCTGTAACTTACTTTAAAAAAATAATAGCTTAGCTTCTAATGGGTCTAGAGTGACGCCCTCTTAAGACATTAATCCCTTAAGACAGGTGGACCACAGAGCCTGTCGGGGACGTCTCCGGGAGCCCAGGGGTCTGGTGCTTGTCCTCAGGAGGCCAGAGCCCATCAGAGGGAAGGACCCTCATATCACTCGGGCAAAGGGAGGGCACCGAGTCCATCACACGCTGCACGCTCTGCGGGGGGCTCCGGGAAGGATGGAAGGAGAGCTGGGGTCTCAGAGGTCTTGGGGTTCCTCAGGGCACAGCACCAAGGAACAGCAGGAAGAGGCCCATCAGTGAGCAGGGCCCCCAGCTGGGTTGATGGCAGCCGGTAAGGGCTCACTGGGGACAGGAGCTTGTCCAAAAGCTTCCTAAACTTTTTAGTTGCATTCGATTGTGTGGAGAGACACAGCATTAACTTTTCCTTTCAGTAGGTTTCATTATAGGGAAGGGAAACAGCACAGCGAACTGTCCTGAGAGGTGACCCGGGGCGGACAGGGGAGGTCCCCGCCCTTGGAAGTAAATGGTTCCAAACTGCGCTGTGTGGAGCTTTTCTTCTGTGTCCTATATGTGCTCAGTTTGTGCGTGTGCTGTTTTCCCAAACCACCGACGATGATAAGTGTAAAAGTGTTTTGTAACGTTACAAACACTGCTGTTGTAAAATGTGCTGGCAACTGCCACCGTCCCCACCCTGTGCTGCTTTGATTGGCTGATCCCCATTACGCCACCTATCAGGGTGGTGCGGGAAGGGAAAGTACAGCCTGTTCCCCCCGCCATCCCGGGGGGCAGGCCCCTCTGGGCGGGCGCAGACCTCAGGCGCCGAGCTCCACCCAGAGAGCTCTTGGTTTCCTCCTGGGGTACGCCCGGTTGGCATCTGTCTTCAGGATGCATGATTCCTGAGTCAGTGCGCTTTTATCCTTTCATAAAAGAAGGAAGTCATTTCCCCAGATTAACGGGGAATGTGGGACCAGCATAGCCAGAGAATTACATACCGATTACAGCTTTACCTGCCCCACGTGTGCCTCCAGGGCTCCGTTTCTGTCGTGTTGTTTTTCTTCTTTGTTTTGTTTACTTATTTTACCTAGAGTGACAATCCTTTCTCCCCTCCCTCCCCTCTACACTCCAAACTAAAAACCAAAACAGAGTTGCTCATCTTGAGCAATCTATCAATCTATCAATTTACGGGGAAACCACCAGCCACTTGGCTATTTTTATTGAGGGAATAAACAAGAATGAGCCTTCTCAGTCATCTGGGGCTGGTGCCCATCGGATGAGTCTGGGTCAGTGTGGGGCCTCAGGTGACAGAGGGAAAAGCCCAGAAATGGGTCTAGTGGGGGCTGTGTCGGGGGAGGAAGGCCAGACGGTGGGCACTCAGGCGACTGGGCAGGAGGCTGTGGGGACCACGCTGACACAGACTCAGACAGACGGGGGAGCCGAGACCTGGCAGGGAGTGGACTGTGTCCCCAGGCTGGGGCTGCGAGCTGATGGGCAGCCTCGAGTGGGGAGGATGTTAGAGTATTGATATTAACCGCCCCCACTCCGCCATTTAAAGACGACGGGGTAGAAGCTCTGAACGGCAGAGCCTTGCTGCAGGCCACCGAACAAACACGTGGACAAGAGAAGACCGATATCCAGACTTCTAATCTCATAATCAGTTCTTGTTCCGGAAGCCAGTGACTGGGCATCCCTGTGCAGCCTTGTATGTGTCCGGGCTTCCAGCAGCTTCCCCTCCCTGCCCCGGATTCGGGGCCTGCCCTGCCCTGGCGGGTTGCTCAATGGCTGTGCATCTCACCTGGCTGGTCGACCGACTGCTGAGGATGTTCTCTGAGCTCCCTGAGGGAAGCGTCTGGATCTCCCACTCCCGGGCTTCAGGGCGCAGCTCCGCAGGGGCGGCAGTCGGAGCCTTCTATTATTCACGCAGGCGGATTTGTCCACAGTCCAGCCCACTGAACTGAGAGAGAGCCATTCCATTTTCTATTTTCTTTCCTTATCTGAAACATCCCTGAGGCTTCTGTTATCTTCTATAATCTCTTTTTAGCCAGTGCCTACAGCCCTTGTTCATCATCCACTATTTTTAATTTTTACTAAAAAAAAAAAAAACAACTGTCAAAAAAAAAAAAAAAAGGAGCAGAAGGTGCTTAGACATCACCTGGGCTCAGAGAGGGGAAGCCCTTTCCACAGAGTCACACAGCACCAAGGCCCCTCAGTGGATCCCTTACGTCACATGCCCCTCCCTGAACAGCTCTGGGGGCGGAACTCACGGTGGACTGACTGGATTAGGCCGGACTCCTGAACCCGTCACTAGTGGGAGGGTAAGGTTAGCCTGCCCCAATCAGGGCCCCTTTTGGTGCTGGGGACGTGGTCTCGGTCCCTGAGACCCATGGGCTGCCTGAGGGAGGGGAAGATACCTGGGAAAAAAACCAAAGTTTTGTTAAGAAGATGGAGGGGGGTGTGAGAAACAAGGAGTAGGACGTGCTGGAATTTCATCCTCTGGATCACAAGCTCTTTGAAGACTCATTCTGTTCTGATGATGGTGGCAATCACAGTGCCCAGCGGAGAGGGTTTGGGGCGCAACAAATTTGGGGTGCTCCTGGGTGCCATCCCTGCGCTGGTTTTCATTCATCTCCTGATTCGGTCACCCAGAAGGAGCCCCTTCCACTTAGCTTCAGGGGACCTCACGGCGCTGGACGCAGTGGCCCCAGACTGGTGGTGCGCTGAGGGTTGACTGCCAACAGCCGCCAACAGGCGTCCTCCTCACCTCAAAAAACTGCCCTCGTCCGATAGGATGTAACTGACCCAGGAAGTTACACCCCAGACCTCGCATCCTGGGGGCCCCTGGCTGACCAGTCCCCTCTGAAAAGCCAGAACACTTGCCTCAGAGGCTCAATGCCACCCTGAGCTCCCTGCTCCAGGTCCCACCCCCTGCTGATCAGGTCAAGGTCCTGGAGCCAGTCGCGTCCTTCTCGGCTCCGCCCCTTTCTTGGCCTGCTTCCCTCACTTCCCCAGGGGCTCCTCCTAAGAGCACTCTCTCAATAAAGGATGCTTGCCTGACGCCTCAGCTCAGGTTCTGCTGCCCGGGGACCCAGGCAAAGGCAGCCACGGACAGTCCTTATTGCTGAGACAGGTCAGATGCACGAAGGCATCCGTTACAGGCAAGAAAACCTAGTAAGTGGGAACAGAGGACCAGGCAAAGAAATTTGCCTTTATTTGGTATGAAAATCATTGGCGGAAGCAAGGCCACCCAGAGAGATCAACGCACCTCTTGGAAGAGCACACCTTTGGCAGCTCTCTGCAGCATTAGAGCTAGAGGTGAAGGGAAAGAAAAAGAAATTTCTGTCCCCCAGAACTCACAGGCCTGCTGGGAGATGTCAGATTGAGCGGCGGTGGGAGGAGCAGCAGCCGGGGCAGGCAGGCCTGGCTTGCCCTCTGCAACACGCTGCCCCGTCTCCTTCCTCAGAGGGGAACAGGGAAGGGGCATTCGGAGAGACCTGGATTCTTCTGGGATGCATATCTCCGCACTCGTAGACCACGTGATCTTAGACAAAGGGCTTGATTTCTCCAACTTAGTCAAGGTTCTTTGGGTTGTGAGAGGAAAAATTCCAACTCAAATCAGCTGGCCCTGAAAAGGAAGTTTATTGGCTCAAAATTTGGAAAAATGTAGGTGGTTGGGCTTCAGGTAGGGCTTGATCCAGGGACTCCGAAGATGCCACAAAGTCTCTCTCCCCATTTCTCTCTTTCAACCTCAGTCTCTCTGTCTTCTCTCGTTCTCCACATGGAAGCCCTGGCCACTCTCGGTTCCAGGCTACGTCACCTGGCCAGACACCTTGGAGTTCACCTGCACATTCTTAGGAGGCCCATGTATTCTCAGGGAAAGATGCTGCTTGATCTGATTTGGTGGTACAGTCTTGTTTCTTTGCCCTTTGCTGTGGCAGGGGATGAAGTATTATGATGGCTTACCCTGGGCCCCACGTCCTCACTGTGGCATTTTCTTATTGTCATCCGGTAGAGTGGAGGGAGCAGCTCTGCAAAGGAACTGAGATTCTGTCGCCGTAAGATGGGGAAGATGGTACAAAATCAAGAGCTGTTTTCTATGCTCAGGCCTCTCATTTATGAAACAGGGACAATCATGTCTTGTCCCTGGGGTGACTGTATAGGTTAAATGCTACAGTGGATGTCAAAGCACTAATAAGCCACAGCGTACAGCACACGCTTGTCACTGCATTACTTCTTTCACGGATCTTCCTTGTGGATAAGATAGGGACAATGGGATTCTTTTGTTCTTTTCTCCCCACTAACCTCAGATCTACTCAACAGGACAATCCCCAAGGACCATGAACCCCACACTGGGCCTGGGTCTGCTCCTGGCTGGCCTCCTCGCTGTGGAAGGTCTTCAGAAGCCCCCTTTCCCTCCAAAGAATCACGAAGTCCTGAGCCGGTCCCAAGAGTGGAAGGGAAGGGTGGCCGCTCAGCGCCTTGTGAGGCGGAACATGGACTTCGGCTTCAAGCTCTACGAGAAGCTGGCCTCCGCCAGCTCCAGCAAGAACATCCTCTTCTCCCCCATAAGCATCTCTACAGCCTTCTCCATGCTGTGCCTGGGTGCCCAGAACTCCACGCTGGCTGAGATCAAGCAGGGTTTCAACTTCAGGAATGTGCCAGAGAAGGAACTGCATGAGGGTTTCCATTACCTTATCCACAGCCTGAACCAGGAGAACCAGAACCTCCAGCTGGACCTCGAGAACATCTTGTTCATTGACCGCAGGCTGCGGCCAGAGAAGAGGTTTCTGACAAGCACCAAGAACCTGTACAATGCAAAGAGCATCCCCACCAACTTCGAAAATGTGGAAAATGCCCAGAAGCAGATCAATGACTATGTCAGTCAGAAAACCCAGGGGAAAATCAAAAACCTGATCAGGAATATAGATCCTGGCACTGTGATGCTTCTTGTCAACTGTATTTTGTTTCAAGGTATGGCTTGGAACAGCTTGGCATGGGAAAGATAGCATGACCAGTAGACCTGGATTAAAAACCAGGGTTGGCCACTTGCTTGCTCTGTGGCCTTGAGTTCATAAGTGATTATTAGTCTCTCGGGGACTCACTTTCCCTATGTGCAAAATGAGCACCTTGCTACATAAGTCACGGGGCAGTCATTGATATTCACAGTGAAAAATGTATGCAAAATGCACTTTGTGAGGTCTAAATTATTCTCCACAGGTGCATTTCTGTTATTACTGATTATCCTAATGCAACATTGGTTGTAGAAGTTGCAGTGACATTCTCTTCCTCATTTCTTAGAAAAGGAAAGTGAAATTCAGAGAGATATTAATTGACTTAGTTACAAAGCCAGTCAGTTACAAAGTCAGGACTAAAACCCACTTTTCTTGGCCCAAGGGACATTCCGTCAGTCCAAGTAGACACCCAGGCTGGAGAAGGTGTTGTGGATGATGGTGGTGATGATCGCTTTGGTGGGTGCCTTGGTCTCCTATCAAACCTGGTAGATTCCGAAGTCTGAGGATTAGAGACTGAAAAAGAAGGTGGAATAATATTCTTAAATCCAAGCATCATTGCACCACCATACACATCTACATGCACACACAAAGGTTGGCCAGTGTGGATAAGAATCAGAGGCAATAGCCCTCAGGCCAGGCAAGATTACCACCAGACTGCCAGCAACATGATTCTGAGTATGGAAGTTTGGGAGTCCCCAAATCCACAGGAGACTGATGGCAACAGAAGAAGAAATGAGTGCTAATGGTAGACTAAAATCTCAGTCTACCCAAAGCAGGAGAGAGGAGAATCCGGAAATTTCCTAAGTCCCTACACCCCCGAGATTATGGCAAGATCAATGGTGACAACAATGCTGATGATGACTAGCATCCACTCAGCACTTACTATACACAGTCACTAAGCTGTGCTGCCTTTCCCCAGTCTCACAGCAGTGCTACGAGGTGCCCATCAATATCCTCATTGTGCAGAAAAGGACCCTGAACACCAGGGAGATTAAGTCAAGGTTATCCACCTAGAACCAGAGAGCTAGAACTTGAACTCTGGGGACTCTGACGGTAATAAGTGTAAAAAGACCCAGGTCTGAGTTTATGCCCAGCAGCATCAAAGACTCCTCAGGATAGAAAAGGAGGGGTCCTAACACCCAGCTTTCAGGGTTCACTGCTCTTCAGCAGGCGTCCAAGGGCAGACTGTCCCATCATTTTTCTTAGTTCCCTGTGAAAACAGCTCCTCTGGGGCTGACTTAGAAGAAAGCTGAGCATTTTTTACTCACATGAGACCCCAATAGCCCGCACTAAGTATAATCTCGTCCCCTCTGCTGAGACACGGCCCACGGGCTTTCTCACCCTCAGGAGAATCCGCGTTTAGGGCTCTCCGAAGCTCTTGGGGAGCTGGTAACCACGTCCCAGCCCACCCCGCCAGAAGTCTTGAGGGAATGTCGTCAGAAGGGGATTCCCGGAGACCTGTCCCAATAGCCCAGAGTACCTAACCCGTAGGCAGGGGCCAGTGCTTAGCTGGGCTCAGTCACCACTTCCCCTTCAGGACACTCACGTCACTTTGTCCTTCTTCGATCTTAAGCCAGGTGGAAACATGAGTTTAATCCAAAATTAACCAAGGAGGAAGATTTCATTGTGGAAGAAAACAGGCCAGTGAAGGTGCCCATGATGTTCCGCGGGGGCATGTATGAAGTTGGCCATGACAACCAGCTGTCCTGCACTGTCCTGACCATGCCCTACTACAACAACATCATGGCTCTCTTCATTCTTCCCGAGAAGGGCAAAATGAGGCAGGTGGAGCAGGCCTTGGGGCCGGACACGTTTGACCGGTGGAAAAATTTAATGAAGCAAAGGTAAGGAGGGGGGTCTGATGCATGTGGCTTCTCCCTTCTTCCTCCCTTTCCTCTCACTCTCTTTACTTCCTCTGTCCCAGATTTACGGAGCTCTTGCCCATCCCCATCTCCAAGTCCACGCTGACACTGTCCCACGGGGCTGCGCCCGCCATGGTGTGTCACGGTCCTCTGGCCGAGCCCCTCCTCAGTCCCCGGAGCTGAGGTTGTCACCAGGGCATGACTTACCATACGCAGATGTTTCTGGGGGACTGTCCTCATCTCTCTGGTTTCAGGAGAGGGTCCGTGCTCCCCCGTTTGCTTCTCCACCCAAGTGCAGCACAGGCCCTGCGAGATTTCCTGAGGGTAACACGGCCCTCACGGGAGGTTTGGGGATAATGGAACCCAAGTTCCCCACAGAGGCCCAGGGACACTTACAGGGCACAGAAGCGGCTTCCTGTGGAATCCAAGTGCAGGCTCTCCTAAGGTTTCTTCCAGAATATGTCCCCTGGGCTCCTCCCAGTCCACCTCCCTCACCACACGAGGACCTCTCCCAGCATCTCCATGCTTAGGGCCAGGCCTCCCTCTGGGAGGACTTGGACAGCAGAGTTCCTCCCCTCGAGGCCAGGCCCTCCTCCCCGGTCACGCATGGCCCCAAATGTCTGAGAGAAGCCAAGTCCACGCCCTCACGGGAAACACCACTCAGGGAAGTACGCTTGTCTGCGGTCGCCAGTGGGGCGGGGGGTAGGGGCGGGGAAGCACATTCCATCAGAACGTGACAGGCCCACCTCCCTGCCCTGTGACCTCATGTGGTCTAGGGCACAACTCATCAAGTCTAGACCACTCCTCTGGTCCTTCACCGAAGAGGGCAGGTCCCCTCCTGACCAGAAGGCCTAGGCCAAGCTGAAGAGAACATGCACCCTTTCCCCAGGAGACATGAGCAAGCCAACAGACACACTCCTAAAAGGCACATGCCAATGGGCACGTGCCCAGCACCCTTAGGAATTCAGGCCAGGGGTGGCCGCCTTCAGCCTGGGGCTGTGCATCAGACAGACCCCTGCTTTGTGTTGTCTTGTTGTGGCAGATCCCCCCAAGGAAAGGCTCGGTTTCCCCAAAGGCCAATCCAAAGTCCACCAGTAGGAGGCACAAACTGCTGATGACCTTGAAGTGCCCATTTTCCTGTTAAAAGTCCCAAGGGTCCACTCCCACCCCCGGTTCCCCATCACGCCTCTACCTACCTCTGTAGCCACCTTGCAGCATTGGCCCCACGTCTTCCCTTTTCCTGTTTTGACATGAACTAAAGCCAGTCTCCCCATTTATGCACTGAAATCTCCTCCTCTCATGACTCAGGGATATCGCCCCAGAAGCTCTCCCTCTCCCTTCTAGCATCAGCAAATGGGTTCGCTCTCTACTGAACCATTCCCATCGGATAGGAAGATGCTATCATTTCTCCCATCACAAAACAATCTTCTCCTGGCCCCACCTCCCCCACCATTGCTCCGTTTCTTTGCCCCCCACTCCCCGCAGGTAAATACCTGGCAGCAGTGGGCCTCTACCCACTGTCCACAGCTCTCTCCTCCCAGCCTCTCTCCGACCCCTGTGCTGAGTCGGCTGCCGGTGCTCACCTCCACCAGCCGTTCACTGCCCGGGGTCCTGAGGGCATCCCTGGGGCTGAGACAGCTCCAGGCCTGTCTTCCTCAGCCCATCCGCTGTGCTTGACGCAGGGGACCCCCCACCTCCCTCAGAGGTGTTCTTCGCCTGGCTTCCAGGCCCGCACCATTTCCTCACCCCCTCAGCCCCTCCTTCCCAGCCTCCTTGGCTTGCCCCCGCCCCAGCTCCCTATGGAGTGCCACAGGCTCACTCCTCAGGCCTCTTCTCCGTGGATATTCACCCCCTCCACGCGCACACCGGGCTCGGAGTGTTCGTGCTGCCTGTATTACCTGCCACGTTATTCTATCCCTAGTCTCAGTTCTCTCTCCCCGGCTCCAAGGTCACACACCTGTCTGCTTTCCCATGATCTCTGTCCCAACGTATCCACGCTGGTTCCCCTTAAGGAACCTCCTCAAGCTTCTGTCTCCTTCGGTGGTGACACCGCCCTTTCGGCTGCTCAAGTTAAAAACCTTGGGGTCCTCCGTGACCACTCTCTTCTCTCCAGCCCCTCATTCAGTCTGGCAGGGGACCCTATCAGCCCCACTTGAGAACATGTCTCAGTCCGGTCACTTCCCAGCATCTCTAGGACTCCCAGCATCTAACTGCGGCGCTAACTTCCAAATGGTCTCCCAGCATCAACTCTGGTCCCTGCCCTTCACCACCAACAGCACATTCTTAACAGAATGGAGGAAATGATCTTTCTACACCCTAAGCTAGACCAGCCTTTCCTTTGTTCAAAACCCTGCAGTGGCTCCCCATTCCACTCAGAAAATTAAAAAAACAAAACAAAACAAAAAAACCCAACTTGCCTCTCTCCTTTGCCTTGGTCCAAGTTTGCTCAAATCTTCCCTTGACTTCAGCATTCCTCATTCCCATAGTCAAGCTGTATTTTTTCCGTATCATATGTGACCTTTTTATACACAGATCACCTGTCTTTGTATCAATGCCATGTCCATTTTTCATTCTGTTGATTTTAGTGTCTGTCTTCCTGCTAAAGTACAAGCTCAGGGGCATGGATTTTTCCCTGTTCTGTTCACAGATGCCCCTAAGCATCTAGAACAGCCCCTGGTACACTGTAGGCACCTCATAAATACTTGCCCAATGGAGGTATGGTTGAGTGGAAAGGTAAGTTTGGGAGGCATTGGGCCTGTCTCTGATAGTTAAAGCTATGACATTGCATGAGGTCCCCAGGGAGGGAAAAAAGACAGAAGAGAGAAGACTAAGGGCTGAGGCTTGGAGCATCAGAGCGAGGAGACAGGTGACGAGGTGGAGGAGCAAAGGGTGAGAGACGGCGTGGCCGAGAAGGAAGCAGAAAGCGGGTGGGCATGGACTTGGAGTGCTTCGAGATGGAAAACGGGTCAGCTGCCTCGTGCTGGCCTCTGAGTGTTCACTGTTGTATCCAGCAAGCAGAGGTCGGTGGAGACCCCGGAAGGAGCTGCTTCAGTAGAATGTGGAGGACAACCCCTCATTAGCGTAGGTTGAGGCAATAATGGGAGGACGTGGAGCTCACTGGCCGATACGACTTCTGCTGTGAATGAAAGAAGAGATGTGGGCAGGACACTGGGGCGGCGACTCAGGGCCTGCGGAGATGTGTTGGCTTTTGTTTTTTAGGTTAGGGGTTATTACAGCAGGTGCTCTGATCCCAAGAATGGCCAAGTAGACACCCTTACAGAGCGTGCAGGGGAGAAACGAAACAGGCGGGAATGGGGGCTTGGACAGGCAAGAAGAAATGGGGTCCGGGGCCAGGAGGACAGCAATGCAGGGCCCCCATGTGCCTCATGGCTGCCTGACCACAGGCCCCGGGCAGAGCGGCCAAGCCAAGTCCCGCCCGGTGCGCCCGCACCAGTGCTCTCACTGACCCATGGTGGCATGGCTGTCCCCATCACATTCACACAAGTCGCTTAGGGACCGTTGCTGCCAGTCACAGAGCTCATGAGAGGCAGAGTGGATTCCAACAGCTCTGCCTGGCTCAGAAGCGCTCGGGGCCCTGCTGCCTCTAGCATCAGGCCTGTTGGGGTCACGACTAGCTCGGGACTGGGGAATGGCGGTGGGGAGACCTCAGCGGCTGCAGCTGAACAGGCCCTGAGACGGCAGGGACGTGACAACGTTTCTAAGGATGAAGGCTCAGAGCAGGCTCGATAAGAAGCAGAGACAGCTCAGAGAACCCGGGTGTTTTGAAGGGTTCAGGAACCCTCCTTGTTCTGTGGATCAAGAGAAAGTCGGAGACCTTTAGGGCTGGGAGGACAAATGTCTCATTCACTGTCTACCCGGGGGCCTACCCTGGAAAAGCATAGACCCTTGCTGCTCACCTTTGTCCCTTCCCACTCCCTAGGGTTGTGGACGTGTCCCTGCCCAGGTTCTCCATCCTGGGCACCTACGACCTCAAGAAGATTCTCTCCTCCCTGGGTATCACCAAGATCTTTGAGGAGCATGGCGACCTCACCCGGATCGTCCCGAATCGAAGCCTGAAAGTGGGCGAGGTGAGCCAGCTTGGCCTGGGCGTTGCTCCCACCCCACTCCCACCGCCCCCCCCCCCGACCCCCGACAGGGAGCCTCCAAATAGCCCCGGGCCAGAGTCACTGTCACAGCAGCTGAGCACGCCGGATCCCACCCGCCATTCAGGCCTAGTTCGAATCCAGCTCTGCCCCTACCAGCCACGTGGCTCTGGGGGAATCATGAGCCTCCCCAAGCCTCATGTTTTCAGTCTTTAATATTAGAACCAAACTCCTGGTACTGTTTGGAAGTCAACCCCATCAAATAACCCACTGATCAAGGTCCAGGATGTTTATCCAGCCCAGACCGGGTCTAGGGGTGGCTCAGACCCTCACTGAAAGACGTCACAGGCCCGTTAGGAGTGAGTTGTGAACGTGGTCTACTGATTAAGAGATGAACAAGCAAAGGGCCTGTGGTCTCCCGCAAGGCTGATCTCCTGCCTGTTGGGGACAAGCAGAGGAAAAGACTAGGGGTAGGGTCCCCAGATTTAGCAGCAGGATACAGGGCACCCAGTTCAGTTCAAATTTCAGATAAATGATGATTTTTTTTTTTTAGTATAGGTATGTCTAATTATTGCAGGAGATATACTGACACTAAAACATTCATTGTTTATCTGAAAATAAAGTTTAACTGGATGTCCTGTATTTTATCTAGCAACCCTACTTTCAGGTTAAATGAAAATTGAAGGGGGAGAGATTTCAACCAGCAGAATTGGGCGCGGGAGGATCTTCCACTAGGGGGCAGCACGGCCAAAGGCTGGTGGCTGGTGAGGACTGGCTGGGGCCCAGCGCGAAGGTCATGCCAGCCAGGGAGGGATCCAAGTTGCCTAGCTGAGCTGGCAGTCATCACGATTCAGATTTACCTTTCAGTTTGCAAGAGGAAGAAAAGGAGTTAATAGAATCGCCTTGCTTTTAAGTTCTCCTGCCAGAGACGTCTTATAAGTATTCAGTGCCCGCTACCCCTTTCCTGTAGGCCTTTATGGATGGCGTTCAAGGGCTTGCTTCCCCTCCTCAATTAGGTGTGCCGACAGCCGTGAGTCTGTCTGGGAACGATGGCTCTGGGCCCGCTACAAAATGGTTAGAATTTTGTAGGCTGGGATGAAATGTGTCAGTGATTTCACAGAAGCCCATCAGTGCCCCAGGGTGAATCAATTAGTCACGGATGTTGATGGTATTGGGGTGCACCTGGGGTCCACGTCGTCCCCCCCAGCCAGCCTGGAATCTGGGTCCCTCTCAGTCCTCCACCAGCCATCTACCGGGCAGGTGAACGGAGGGTGGCGGGGGCTGGAGGCCTCAGGGCAGGACCCCCACCTCCCTTCTCTCTAGACACTTTTGGCCATTGTAACCATGGACGCTTCCCTGTGATTCCCAGGGAGGGGAGCAAACCCCACTCCATTCCTGGACCCCGCTCCACCCCCATAGCTGACGCCCTACGCATCATTTTTTTCTTTATGCTGCTTCTGCTTGTTGTGTGTCCTTTGAGGATGGCAGGGGACTGGAGGCCCCGCCAGGCTGGCCCCGGCTGGCACGGCCATGCTGGGCAGCTTCGGCGAGGCTTCCCCCTGGCTGAGCCCCTCGTGTCCCCGGCTCACCCGCGGCCTCCCAGTGGCATGGCGAACGCTGACCTCGCTCCCGTTCCCGCAGGCGGTGCACAAGGCTAAGCTGAGGATGGACGAGAAGGGCACAGAGGGTGCCGCTGGCTCTGGGATGGAGACGCTGCCCATGGAGAGGCCCTTAGTTTTCAAGCTGAACAGACCCTTTCTGATAATGATTGTGGAGAACAACTCATCCACCGTGCTCTTCCTGGGAAAGATCAGCAATCCCACGGGCACATGAAAAGGAATTCCCGTCTGCCGCGGACCCCAGCCATGGCTGGCAACGTAGCAGCTCCCTGGGACTGAGACCGCGGGCACATTCTAATCTCCTCCCACGTCTTGAGCCCCCAAGGCCGTAGTCTGAAGGGCAGCACCGCGGGGCTCTGGACTTCCGTGCTGCGCCCCCTCCCTGCCTGCTGAAGTGCTGGGATCACACGCCCCACCCCCACCCCCTTGGCTGGCAGCGATTTCTCTCCCCTTGGGGGGAAGAGGAGTTCTGTGGTTTAATAAACACCCTCCGCAGGTCTGCTGACTGTTGGTGGATGATTTGAGGAAGTTGTGAGCCAAGGCAAGCCTGGCCCTCAGAGGGAGAGAGACCCAGGTTCAAATCTTAGGAATGGAGTGTCTTTGGAAACGCCACACACCTGCCCCAAGTCCCTGTTTCTGTGTTTCTGGGGCCAGGACCACCGTGCCCCGCTCTGGGGCTCCGAGACAACCAGCACACTGCTTTAGAAAAGTCTGTGCACCTTTGTAAGCCCTTGGCTGTGGGTCTTCAGCATGTGAACTACAGAGTCATCTTCCCCAGGGGATCCCTGCAGGACCTCTGGGCCCAGCCCTGGCATCCCAGTGGGTCGGGCTGGTCTAGCATTAGAAGGAAGCCACCTAGAGTGGCAGCAGCTAGGGGTCCATGCCAGCATTGTCTGACTCCAGAGCACAAAAAGCAGAGCTTGGCGTTCGGACCTGCCAGCCAGCTCAGCAGAAGAGGGCCTGGAGAGTATTGTGCTCAGTGAAATAAGCCAGCCAGAGAAAGACAAGTGCCCTGTGACCTCACTTAGGGGTGGAATCTAATGAACAAGATGCCAAGCAGAATAGAAACAGACTCATAGATGCAGAGAACAGATTGACAGCTGTCAGAGGGGAGGGCATTGGAAAAGGTGAAGGGATTTAAGAAAAAAAAACACTCATAGACACAGACAACTGCCTGGTGATGACCAGAGGGAAAGGGGGTGGAAGGGGCAGAAGAGGGTAAAGGAGGGATAAGTGGTGATGGAAGGAGGCTTGAGTTGGGGTGGAGAACACACAATATACAGGGGATGTATTATAGGATTGTACACTTGAAGCCTATATAATTTATTAACCATTGTTACCCCAATAAATTCAAAGGAAAAAAAAGAATGAATGGGATCCATGCACCTGCTCCGGAAAACATGGCCCTGCAGGGCCTGCCTATGACCACTAGGGGACATCAATGCTCCTGGGGCTACTTAGATTCCGAGGAAGGGGCACTGTCGTTTCCAGTGCAGATATAGAAACTGAGACTCAGAGAGATGAAGTGGCTTCCTTGTGGCCTCCTGGTTAAGCTACAGGCCTTCGGAGGGGGATCCTGCATGGACCGGGGTTTGTGGCTGGTCATGCTTCAGCTCCTCTCCAAAGTTTGCTGCCCAGCTCACTTGGGCACAGGTGTGTTCAGCAGGCGCCTCCTCCTCCATCCCGGGCACCGGCAGGGCCCTGGAGACGCGATGCCCCGCCCCCGCTCCGGGCCTGGAAGAAAAGGCGCGGTGGGGAGGGTTGCGGCTAGTCTTGGTGGTAAGTGCTCAGGTCAGGAAGCCCCAGAGTCAGCAGCCCCCCTTGGAGAAAATGGGAAGCCGAAGGAGGTGAGGACCCTGCACAGGGGACACACAGGTAGGACAAAGGCTGGGAGTCCCCGCAGAGCACTTTGCAACCATTTCCACTGCACCAACCTGAGAGGGTTGCGGTGGGGGCGAGGCACCCGATGAACATGGAAACCCTGAGTCATTGTCTCGGGTCTGCAACATATGCAACCAGCAATATATGCAACAGACTGTAAGGAGAGCCACTTACTTGGTAGCCGGGTGACTTAAGCTTGTCATTTAACCCTTCTGAGTCCCGGCCCCTCCCTCATTTACTGAAAGATGGTAATAATGTCGACCCCATGGGGCTGAGGCACTCTGAGGGGCCCATAAGGTGGCAGAGAAGGCATGCCTGGCACGCGGGAGACACTCAGCAGAGCCGCTGTCCTGATCTCCCACCACCTGGGGCTGCCAGCTGCTTTCTAAAGGCTGCGCTCTGGGCATTTGCCTTTGCCGTTGCTCGGAATGCTTGCCATCTGCCTAATGAGCTCCTATTCATCCCTTAACACCCGGTCCATCATGACCTCTTCATGGGATTGTCTCTACTTCCGGCATCTTCCAAGCAGCCTTCGGTAAAGCACTCATCTCCATGCATTGTGACGGCTCCTGGGTCTGAATTTTCCCTCTACCCCCGCGTGGGCTGCAATCAACCCTGAGTGACTCGGTGACTCATGGGGCAGCCGTCCCTGGACCAGCTGCTCTCACCGACAGACCTGGCCCCTCCCTTCCAGGAGTTAACGTCCAGGGGGAGAAAGAGCCTTGGAGGGAGTAACTGCACACATCAGTTTATGACAGGGAACTCCAAGGGGCACGAGGGAAGAGGATGGGCGTCTGCATAGAAAACCGCAGCCGACGGGTCTGACCCAGTTGAGGGCTCAGGCAAGCCTTCAGCATGTGATACCGGGAAGACCTCTGAATGTGGGGAGCTTATCTGCCTTCAAACCATAGATATTAATTTAAACTGCATATTCATGTGTTTTTCCCAGTGTAGTTAATAATACCTCAAATACCGGTTGGTCTTCCACCCTGGCTGCATGGTTCCGTTGGTTGGAGTGTCCAAAAGTTTGCGGGTTCGATCCCCAGTTGGGGCACATATAGGAGGCAACACATAGGTGTTTCTCTTTCACATCAATGTTTCTCTCCCCCCACCTCCTCTCTTTAAACATATCCTCAGGTGAGAATTCAAAGTAAAATATATAATGAAATACCTGTTGGTCTCTCAAATAGAAATTGAGCCTAAGCTGTCGTGGTTTATTCATCTTCCTTTTAGCTCACTTTATTCAAAAAATGGCTGTTGCACATCTTAAATATTTTTTCCCATTGATTTCCTCCTTCATAGCTAGAGTTTCATTCTTCACTATAGAAAAAAATTCTGAGAAAAAAAAAGAGGGGGAAAACTTTGTGGGGGAAGCAGAGAGGCCCCATCAAGCTGAGGGAACAGCACGGGCAAAGGCCCTGGGGTGGGAAGGAGGGCTGGACAACGACCTGGAGGTTAACATTGCCAGAGCACCAAAATAAGGCAAAGGGAGGGAGCAGCGAGGCTGGAGGGGTAGGTGGGGACCTCGTGGGCCACAAGGAGCCTGGCGGTCTGTAGCTGACGAGCTGGGATGAGCTGTTGCAGGTGTTTAGTTGGAGCGTGACCCAACGTGATATAAATGTCCCTCTGGCCCAGGCCAGTGCATGTCGCGGGAGACGTGCTCGATATGTGTTTGTTGAAAAAGAAGACTGCCGCAGCCATCACCGACGTGGCAGACACGGCCAGCCCCTCAGAGCCCTCCTCTCCTCTGGGAGGGGAGGCTGCATGCCTGCTTTGTCACGGGAGTCTGCAAAACACACCCTCTGCTCGGCCACCTCCCGGCCCCTGCATATGCCGTCCCTCCTCCCCACACCCCACCAAGATGCTCCGCTGGTCCCTGTTCCCTCCCACGCCCACCAGTTCCTCTTAGGTGTTACTCATCCTCCTCCGTCTACGAACCTTCCCAGGCCACATGTTTGTGGACTGACTGACCGGATGAACAAATGAATGGACTGGACTTTGCTGTAACCAGCTCACTGAATGCCTCCCGGTGCCCGGCCCTGAAGAGGTGCTTTCTCAACGCCGTGAGCCACCCACCCTTCCAGTTAGTGTGACCATTCCATTCGACTGATGAGAAGACTGAAGATCAGCTAGGAAGCCACAGAGCAGGGACTCTTCGGGACTTTTGTCCATTCATGCAGCAAGTATTTCCTGAGTGGATACAGTCTCTGAGCCAGGGAGGGGCGGAGACATGTCAGTGGACAAAGCATACAAAGCTCCTCGCTCTTGCGGATGTTCCAGGCAGGCAATAAACAACAAGGGTGATAAAGACCATTCGGCAAAGCAGGTCAGGGCGATCAGAGGTGCTGGCGGCGTTGGTGGTGGCCAGGTCGGCCTCGCTGGGGAGGCGTCACTCCCCGCAACACTAGATTCTGTGATTCTACTCTTCACAGTCTCTGTTGCATAACGGCGCCTGGAGTGGGGGCTGCGCTGGCATGGGGGTCCTTGATGATAGGAGAGGGGTTGGCCCCAACCAGGAACGAAGGTGCCCGACATCAGAAGGCAGGGTTCAAGGGCCCCTTTGGAGGGATGCAGCTTGACTTTCCACGAAAGGCAGGAGACCTTTGTGCAGAAGGCTTTCCGAGCACATGCAGGGCATCCGGAGGTGGCTTTCTGTCTGTCCAGGATGAGCTCATTCACGTGGGCACGCACCTGAGGTGACAGGCTGGTGTACTGGTAAGGGTAGTCTCAGGCGAGATGTCCTGTTTCCTGCCCCTGCTTTTCCCAGGCACTGACTGTGTGGCTTGGGCCAGTACCCTCTCCTTCTGGGCTCTGTTTCCCATTTGTGCAACGATGGGGCTGCCCCCCAGCTCAGACAGCACTTGGGCGCTTATGTCGGAAATGATGGAGCTGGCTCCAAAACGTCATCTACTTGTTTCTCCGTGCGTTCGTTTAGCTGGCAGGTATTTATTGAGCACTTGCTATGTGCCAGGGAGTGTGCCAGGCACAGAAAAGCCTGGCGAGAGCTCGGAGCCACGTGGCTGGCCTCCTCCCCCTCCGGCCCGGACGGGGCAGTGTTTCCCACCCTGCTAAGCACTCCAGCGTGACAATAGGGGTGCGTGGCACCCTTTCTCTTTGGGAGACATGTTCCTCATTACTGCTCGGTTCCCCGAGCTTCCTTCATTCTGGAACTACTACTGTGACCACGGCCAAATCCTCATCAATTTTGTACTATTATTTGTCCAAGGTTGATCTTTCCATCAACTTTAGAAAAACAAAAGAAATTTGTCTAAACAGATCATATCAAAACCCAGGAAACGTATCACAGATAGAAGCTAACTGGAAAAATGCACA